TTATTGTTATACATTTCTTCATTACTGTCGTCACCATTTTTTCTTGAAGTTACCATTACTGTTAATATTGCGTTGCTATTGCTGTTATAATTACTACCATATTATGTATTATTATTATTATAATTACCATTAATCAATTTTTTATTAATCAATTTAGAGAGGTGTGGTTCTGAAAGTTTGGTGAAGGATTGGCCTTCTGCCCTCTGCAGCTCGCCTTTCAAAGAATACACATATGTATCCACAGGAAAGAAATAAGAAAAAAGGAATGTGACGAACGAGACGTTTTAAAAATGTACAAATACCGTTCCTTCTTCACTGCCAAGATCATTCTGCGATAAGTTGCAATGAGTTTTTGAAGCAGCAGTTTGCCCCCCCCCCCCCCCCCCCCCCCCCCCCCTCTCCCCTTTCCCTATGCAAAACAAAAAAATGATGGGGGGGGGGGGGGGGGGGGGGGGCTTTTTAAATTTACGATCAGAACGTTTCAAAGAGAATCAAAATATGTAAATATAGAAATAATTCTAACAAACCTGCAGGTGTATCTTTTGATTGTCGAAATCCTCATCTTCCGAATCCTCATCTTCCAGTTGAATACGGTGACGCAGTTTGTTCGTAGGCCTGGCACTTTTCCTCCGTGATGCCATGATCTCTTCCCCGGGTAAACAAAGTCGAACACCTCAGACGCGCACTTCAAATAACGACAGAAAATGCTCAGCTTTAGATCCAGTTTAGCATTGCACGTATCCAAGTTGACTGAATTAATACTTATCACTCATCGACATTTTCCGAAATCACTCATTCATTCATTCATTTTTCATTTTTCTCTGATCCAGTGGCCATTATCGGAGTTCGAGCTCTTCGGCCTGAATCCGAAATCACTCAGAATCTGAAGACCAACTAAAAACTCCCGTGATGAATTTGTAGAAGTAGAAACCACTTATTAACTCCGTACAACAGTAGAAGTGTTCTCTTTCCTTGTGGCAGATTTAGGAATTTCTTTCTTCACTCCCTCTCTCTGGACATGCGTGCGGGCAGCACCTAACCAACGAGGGTGAATGTATCTATAGGCTACTCACGACACGATCGAGTGTGTGTGTGAGTGTGTGTGTGTGTGCTCAGCGAGAGAGGCACATCATTTCCATATATATAGCACACAAACTCAACCCCACCCCACCACCACGGGGCAGAGAAAGATGATGTTCTTCTTCTTCTTCGCCAAACAACTCGTGCGGATTAAACTTCAAAGTTATACAGAGCAGCGCTCAAAGTTTCAGGAACCCTGCCACTTGTGTGTGCAGTGCTACACCTACTTCTCATCCCATCTCATCTACGCTCTTATGGTTTTCTCGCTTTCGGTTTTGCTGCCAGCTTAACTTTATTTTCTTGGCTATCTCTTCCGTATACCCCCCCTCCCCCCCTTCCTCCCTTTCTTCCCAAAACACGAGCAAAGGTAAATCACGTGACATCGCAGTTCCAAGCGAGCACGCGCGTTGGAATCTGGTTGAAGGTTCCAAATATGGAAGTTGCTCGTTGCCCTGTCTGAGAGCAGGAAGAAAAGAAAGTTTGAGCGCGATGTGGGGGCACGTAGATTTACCTGTTTGCCTCTCTCGCCTGGCTCTCTCTGTGTCAGCTGTTCTTATGGTGCGCGTGCATGGGCTAGGGGTGGAGGCACACACAGAGAGACGTGTGAGTGTGCTCACTCAACTCACTGCTCACCACCACCAGCACCGGGTTTCCGGAAAGACATAACGGCAGATTTGACTTGTGTTAGAGGCGGGAGGGAAAAAAATAGATGGTTGTATCGGGAACTGAAATTTTAAATGATAGATTTGTTTTAAGAAAAAGGGAAAAGGGTGTTGGGGTTGGGTGTTGTTGGGTTGTTGTTTTTTGTTGTTGTTTTGCTTTGGTTTTGGTTTTTTTAATTATTATTATTAATATTTTGTGTTTGTTTCTTTGTTTGTTT